ACGCAAGCCGATACCATTAAGATTTCGTGGCGTAACCTCGGGCACGTAAAACACGGTGCAAAAAAGCAGAATAATTTTCACGAGAAACTAGCGTCGCGTTGCTAAAACCAGCAACCATGTTGAGCTTTTTTTTTTTTTTTTTTTTTCAAAAGGATCGCGATTGGTCCACGGAATCATGACGTCATGAAAACGATTCGCTGGCGTTTCTCGGCGTAGGATTACATTTTCCTCTGAGAGGCATTTCCGGTTTTTTTTTTAGCTTGCAACCGACTATAGCTCGAGAAGCATTCGGGTAGTGGCCCGTGTCCAATTGCTGCAACAACGACAATAGCCGAGCCATAACAATGTCTGGAACTCAGCGGTGTCCTCTGCTTTGCCAACACCAGCGCGTGGCTATGATCAACATTGGCGGCATATAATCGGCTCCAGATCACGTGGCCGCTTGTTGTGGCTGCGAGTTGAAGGGGTGAACGCTGCTCGTTTTTCTTTAATTTTTTTTTCTGGGACTTCTCTTGCGTGGGGTGAAAAACTGACGCGCGTTTCATAGGTCATTAATGGCAGGGATCCGTTCTAAGTGGTATTTGCGCAAAGTACAAAAATTATTGCATCGCCCCTTTAAAGGAGCGATGCAACGATTTTTGTATGCTGCGCAAATACCACTTAGAACGGATCCCTGACGTTAATGACCTGTGAAAGACCCGTTCGTTTTTCACCACACGCAATCGAAGTCGCAGAAAAAAATAACGAAAAACGAGCAGAGTTCACCCCCTCAACTCGCAGCCAGAACAAGCGGCCACGTGATATGGAGCCGATTATATGCCGCCAATATATATCATAGCCATGCGCTGGGGTTAGCAAGGCACAGGACACGCGCTGAGGTCCAGACATTGTTATGGTTCGACTGTTGTCGCCATTGCAGCTATTGGACACAGGACACTACCCGAATGCGTCTCGAGCTATTGATTATCACGAGCCAAAATCGAGTGTCCACGCCATGCTCGGGTCCAATCTATGAGCCGCATTCAAATATCGTCACTGGGCGGTACTGCTACCGCCCAGCTACGTCATCAGGTTTTTCGAAGGAGAGATTGAATGAAAACACTCGGTTTTGTCCTCGAAATTACAGCGCAACAAAAGAGTTTTCTGGTCAATGGCGTTGCGTGCGAGTATCCTTGAGTAGTAGGTGTGCCAGTAAGCTCGTGTAAAATGAAAAACATTCCAATTGAATATCGTTGCACCGCCCCTTTAAGGGCATTTCACCCTACGTCAGGATACATTGCGCAAAAGCGAGAAAACCTCAAGTGCGCTTCCTCTCAGGACAGTCTGGTTTGCGGAAAAGCGAAAACTAATCTTAAAGGGCAACTCCGCTTCACTCTTGGTTTTGAAAAAAAAAAGAAACAATGCAGTCCTCTTCAGTATCGCCTAGGAAGAACACACATCAAATATTACGACGCAGTTGTATGTAAATGTTTCTTAAGCGGTCCGGCAAACTTTGCAACTCTCCAAGTTTCCGAAATCGGCTGACTCGAGCGGGCGAATTCAGGCGCAACCAACAGCGCAGTCAAGGCTACGGCATGGGCGTAGACAACATTGAGCTGAACGTCATCACCATTTCCCTCTTTTGCTTGGTTTTACTTCTCCGGGCAAGCGTAGCGGATGCCGTCAGCAACGTTACCTCTCGGCGCTCAGCGGTGTCCACGCGATCGGCGTCAGGCGCCTGCGCAGCGCGCTTCGTGGGAGCCGTCCGGCCGCCCCGCTGTGGTCCTGCCGTTACCGCCGTTTCCCGCGTCACAACCGCCATCGTCATCTCACGGGTTGTGATTTTTGTCTCTCGCATTTCGTCCATACTACGTACACCACGTGCGAAGACTTATGCCGCAGTTGTGCAGACGTCATCGAATGTCGTAGACACTAAAACGTGGTAAAGAGTGCGGTGCAGACGCCCGCCCCAATCCCGCCCGCGTGTCGTTGCGTTGATGATCACGTGACTTTTCGTACCACGTGATGGCCATGTTCTTAGCGGCCCGAGGGCAATGTTGCCGGACGGAGCCGAAGTTTCGGTTTGGATTTTCGCTCGTGTTTAAAATTATATTTAATAATATATATCCAATTTTTCGAGGAGCAAACGACGTAGTGCCTTTTACTAGGGCTTTTTAATGCGAAATCACTCATTATCCAGAAATCTTCGGAATTGAGAGGAGTAGCCCTTTAAGGGCGCTTCACCCTACGTTAGGATGCATTGCGCATGAGCGAGAAAACCGTAAGTGCGCTTTACCCTACAATATTGTGCCCTGGCCCCTTCGGGAAACCGACTTCTGGGGAATTCGCCTGGTTGATATGCAGCAATTCAAAAGGGGGGGTGTTACGATGGTTATAAGATAAAAGCTAGCGCCATCTGTGACCATGGGGCATGTGGGAATAAAAGACGCGCTGCGTACGGGCGCGGGGCCGCGCCGCAGTGGATCTTGCGCCAGGAACGACATTCGACGTGTTTTTGATCCATTCTTCTTATTACGACATAAGAACTGGCAACGTGGGTAAATCACAAATTTAACCAGCTTACAAGATGTCTGAATGCGAAACCCTGGATGCTTTCGGCCCCGAGAATAAACAATGGCGAAAATACTTGGAACGAATAGGAGAGTTCTTCGCTGCGAATGACGTCCCAGCCGACAAGCAACGCGATGTCTTTCTCAGCGGCTGTGGACTACGGACTTATTTCATCCTGCCAAGTCTGGTTGCATGAAAGAAGCCGACGGAGACGACATTGGCTGCCTGCTTATAAACGCTAACCACCCACTTCTCGCCGAAACTGTCACTCATAGACATATCTTGTCCCCCTTCACTCCAACGGGAGTGAAGGGGGACAAGATAGAAAGAGAAAAGAAGTCCAAGAGTAAATAAAAGAATTTTAATTTTTTTTATATAAGCTATGCATTCTTTTATTAAATAATTAAAATAAAGTTGTCAAATTGGTTTTCGGATTATTATGATTCATAAATAAGATGCCCCGGAAATTCCTCACCAGAAAGGCATTTGCATTTCACTTTTTTTATTTACAAGTCACGTCAACAGAAGGCACCAGAATTAGCAGAAAACAACAATCATAAAAACAAATATTTTATAAAGCGCAACCCCAATTCACGAAGCCTCCAGTCATCGGGGTTGATAAAACAGCGATGTATAAGTAGAAACGCGGAACACCTTGATAGACAGACTATAAACACTGGAAAGCTGCTCCACCATAAATTACTCGCCATCTTAACCTCATCTAACCAATAAAAATATCACGTGATTTGTTCGTTGGTGTAGATTTCTATGGTTTCCGAAGTCCGTTCACAAAAGAAAGTCAAGGCGACGGGTTGAGGACAGTGCGAAACGACGAGTCACCTCATTGACATCAACCGTCACTTCTTGGTGGGAATACAGAAGGGCAAGTCCTACAAGCCTCGCTTGAGATGTTGTGGCGCGCAGGTAGGTCTTCAGGCGTCTCAGGGTGGAGAATAAGCGCTCAGCATTCGCCGTCGTCACGGGGAGCGTGACCAAGATCTGAAGAATCTTTCGAATGTTCGGGTAGAACAGTGGGTCCCACGCGTCCATAGCTTGAAGGGCACTCGCTGGAGCATTTCCGTCCTTTTGCCACTTGTTCCGCCAGAGCCTCAGCTCGCCGATTGCCTGGCTCCTGTCAACGTCTTCCGCGTAGATGTCGAGAAGCGTGTCTTCAGCAACTGGGTTTTGGAGGTTAGAAGCTACTTGCGAAGGAAGAACGCAGCTGAAAGAAGATAGAACGGACTCATGTTTTTCAAATCTTGCTTTCAGTCTGCTGTTCAAGTAGTCCAAGAAGGGTATGCAGACCTGAACCCGATAAAACGGCTCAGGGTCGTTCAATGTGCTCATGTTAACCCGGCGTCTTGGTAGCTCTATCACTGTGTCAAAGAACTCCGCTGCTTTCGTGGCTACGTCAAATATGCTTTTGAACTCATGTTCCGCGTTCTGACGCATTTGTCCTAATTTTGCATTTACTTCCTTTACGCAAGAAAGGGCTGATCGCAAGTCGACTGATACAGCCTGCAGTCTTCGACAGGGGTAGTGCCAACGGAAGAGTCTTAGCCGCTGTGTGCAGGCTGATTAGGAATGCACTGGATGATGCTGAAAGCAAAAGCATATGTGCCCGAGATGCGTTGTCTGAAGCTCCGCTCTCGACCAAATGCTGAAGAGTGGCAGAAATGGGTTCCAGCAGCTCGATGATTGCCAATATGCTACCATGTCTCTCCACCCATCTCGTCTCACAAAGCGACACAAGGCGCCTCTTCCGGGACTCCGGGCAAAGGAGTCCAACCTTGTCTACCAGTACTTTACTTCTGATTGGAGAGCTGCGGAAGAATGAACAAATCTCTCTGACCGTGCTCATGCAGTTCCTTATATCGGGAACTGTGGCTGCATCACATAGCACAAGGTTGAGGCAGTGACTTGCGCAGTGCAGAAACAATGCCGATGGGTGCTCCTCCAGTACCGCAGCTTTGACCCCGTTCAGCCGGCCTGACATCGCTGCGGCCCCATCGTAGCCCTGGCCTCTCAGGTATCGCAGATCAATTCCCACGCAGCTCAGAAACTTTGATTTCTTTTGCCAGTGCCCTGCCGCTGAGATCATGCACTTGAGCGTACCCAAGGAACTCTTCACGAACCTTATCATCTTGCACGTATCGGAAACACACGGACATTTGCTCGAGACCACCGATATCCATCGTTTCGTCAGCCAGTACGCTAAAGGCCTTGGCCTCGTTGACCCTCTTGACGGTGCGGTCTTGTATAATATTTCCGCAAATGTCAATTAGCTCGTTCTGAGTACGAGGACCGATGTACGCTGCGTTCGCTGAGGCCGTGGTTAAGTGGGTTTGAAGGAAGGCATCTTCAGATTTCCCTCTCATCTGTAGCAAAGCTCGGAAGTTTCCATCGTTTTCTTCTGGGTCTTTGTCGAGCATCAAAGGTCCCGAGTCATCATGGCCTCTCAGTGCAATGCCTTGCTATTCGCAGAAGACGATGGTGTCTATCACAGGCACAAGTCTCTTGCGGTTACTCTCAAGCGCTTGTTTTCTTTGGTTGTCGATCTGGCTCAAGATGTTCTGCCTGCTTCCAGATGTAGTTTGAAGAAAGTTGTCTACGGACACCTGATCGTCCAAGCGGTGCTTACTTGTTTGGTGGACACTGAACACTTCGATGGCCTTCTTCCGGTTTGTGAAAGGCTTTTACCCCAGTCTCAGGTTTTCTACATCATGATCAATGTCCACCAGCTCGCCTGCGCACTCACTGTTTTATCACGGCCTTCTTCCAGTTTGTGAAAGGCGCCGTTATAAGTGCGCCAGGCTTGACATGATCTCCTTTGCCTAGGGTCCCCTGACTTAAAAGCACGCAACTTCGACAGAAAACTCCAGAGCGGATATGCGTGTAAGTCAACCAAGGCCATCTTTGCAGCCAGCTCATCTAAAACTTCCTTTTCCAGCCCTTTCCAGATTGGACAGCAGGAAACTTGTAATTGCTGTCTGGGGCCCATAGCTTAGTAAGCAGGTCGCGTTTCACTGAGTCGTCTAGGCCCTTGCATCTGGTCTCGCAGTAACAGCCGATGTCGAGTTTATCTCCTGAAGCGAGGCTGGGAGTGTCCAACGATCCTGCAGAATATTTTTTGTAGGTAAAATAATCCAATATTGCTATTTTAACTTAATGGTAATTTAATCAACGCACATGATCCACCTGCCGCCACCTTAAAGAGAAAATTGACGAATATTAATATGGTCGAAGTACGAACTGCTGTTCATTTCTGGGAGCAGTATTTAACAGAGAGACAAAAATACATTGTTACGGTTGGGTGACAAGGTGGGTCGAAAAAGAAGCAGTAAGTCTTGAAATAAAAGCGTCATTGGCTAGGGCTGGTTGCATACGTCTTTGGAGGTCAACACTAGAGCCACTAAATGAGCTGAGCTTAGAGTATCGGCTCTCCGTTCCCCGACATTGTTGTGGGCGCTGCCATTTTGGCTCGTATGCAGAGGACACGCAACTGCCTATCGTCATGATTCAAAAGTGCGACTTCCTCAGCATTAGATTCGGTGTTAGGAAGGTCATGTTATAATGTTTTGCTTTGTCGCGAACTGTTTAAACATTTGTGGAGGGCGGAAAAGCGTTTGCTGTGATTTCAGATAAAGCTTCAGATAACTGGCAACCATGATTTTAAGACACAAAATGGCCAAGTGTCAATACTCTGAAGCGTACCTTATTTAGTAGCACTAGTCAAAACGTCATAAAGTAATATAAATACGAGGCTACGCTTATAGTCCACTGGGCTTTCATTACGAGACTGACGTTTTCTGGATATATTCACAACCACTGACTTGTTGACCAAAAATAAACGAAGTGATAACGGAGTAGTGGTACCAATGTATATCTTCTCCGTTTGGCAGCGAGCACGGAAGTGTACGGAATACGCTAACGCATTTCTGGCGCTCCGTGCCATACTGGATGCTGGGCTCAGAGTCCAGTAGCCGTCAACACGGATGACAGGCGGCATGCAGTGCATCTGGCGCTCATTGCGTCTCCACCTGGCCAGTCGGGCCGCGCTAGCAGGCGACGCCGGGTTAGCACCGCCTCTGGAGCTGAGTGGGCCTGCGCCGAACACCCTCAGGCCACGTGCGTCCGCGTGTTCCCTCTAAGGGTGGACCTCGCTATATATAAAATGTGTGCGAGTGTGTGTGTGTGTGGGGGGGGGGGGGGGACGGAGACATCGCGCACAGCGGCATGACTGCACCACTGCGACCGCACACCAGAAGAAAGAAACGTGCGCTGTGTGCGCCACAAACGTCCAGCCAACACAGCAGCGGCCAACGTTGCCGGCACCGATCCCAAAACCGAAATTATGTCAGTACCTGGTAATGGCGCTGACGTCTGTGAGAACTATGTATAAGAATTGTGCCTACCGGATTCATCGGGTTTCTCGGTGCTTCTTGGTTTGAGACGGTCCACTGACGCGATCCCGATGTTTTCCAACACTTCCAGTGGCTTTTCCTTCTCAACAGCCGCTTTCTTGGGCTCCCGTAGCCAAACATCCAGCAATGTTCTTTTCGTTGCCATGTGGCCACGGATGTCACCATCTCTCAGTACGCACTCTCCTTGAAGTTTCACCAAGAAACGCAAAAGCTATTCGCCTCGAGATCGAACCGTGTCGCTCACCATCCGAGGAGCCAATCAGATATCGCTCTTTTTAGACCAGTGGGAGGAGCCACGCGGTACAAAACAAGCATATACAATACAAAATCCAATTAAGAAAGGACACGTGCACATACCCCCGAAAACTCCCAAAAACCTTCGGACACCGCTTCCAAGAAAACCTCTCATCGGGGTGCAAGAACAGTACCGACGCTTCTTCTCAAAATAAAAAAAGGCTACAAAACATCGAGGGGCCCCGCTGTGCTCGAGCGTGGCACGGCGCATGGTACGCACCCGGAGCGGGGGTCCTCGAGGAACAATTAAGACGGGGAACACGGGGCCGCTCCGTGGCGACGACATGCCAGCCCTGGCGACTTCACGAGAGGAACTCGCGAAGCTATAAAAGTAGAATTGAAAAGGTTTACTCCGACTTAACATAACAAATTAATAACAAAAGGTACAGACGTTTCGCCACCTATGCAGGTGGCATCTTCAGTATACACTGACACAAATGAGGTGAGGTCGACCAGTCTCATTTTCAAAAGTATACCGCCGAAGGCCCTCCTTCCCGGAGCGTGACGTCACAAAAGGAGCCGTGAGAATTTCCGCTCTCGCGCATCTTGAGCGCCTACCAAAGCTATGCACGCGCACTCTTGCTATTTTCACAAAGGGCAGAAAAAGACGTCACGACTAAAGTCCCTTGATGCTTCTTTTGTCTACACTGGCCGAGGTTGAGCAGTTTCGCGTGGCTCCCAAAGAGCCGCGCTGCGCATGCGCGAGAAGCAGTGACGTATTGTCTTTCCTGAGTAACGCTACGCAGCGCAGCCTACCTCACATTTTATTTAACAAATGGGATATGCGGCCGATTATATATATATATATATATATATATATCTGTGTGTGTGCGTGTGCGTGTGCGTGTGTGTGTGTGTGTGTGTGAATTCCCTCAGTGCCGGCTATTTTGCGACGACCGTTATGTAAAACTGTATTGGAACCGAAGAAAACGCAAAAGCAACAACACACACATACGCTAAAAACAGATTGCGGAGGCCGCAGCTTACACGCCCAATCGCGCAGCCTTGATTAGGTTTACCGCGATCTGTGGGGTCCCCTCGAGCTGGACCCTTTTTATTAAACGTTTTTGTTGTTGTTCCTTCTTACTAAAGGCTGCGTTGTATCGTTTCACACGCGTGGAAATTCAGCAAAGCGTTGAATATTAAGTCAGATGCTTCCATAATCTTAGTGCTGTGGTTTGTAGAACCCTTAGTCCTACATATTTTGGTTATCTCGCACAATCCAGGGCTTTCATAAAGCGTTGAATCTTGATTGGAGATGGGAGGTTCATTAACAAATTAATCCGACTGAGTGCCACCCTTTAATAGACTAATCAATCAATAAATTAGTTAATTGATTATTTTTCAGTCATATTAATGAAAGATATTAAAACTACACATTTTTTATTATTTTTACTATGCCCTACATGCCATAGTGCATTCCCTTCCTTTTTTATTTTATTTTTTTTTTTTACAACTTTTCCACGAAGTTGGCTCCGCTGTTTAGAAAAAAAATATACAGCACCGTTTTGATATTGATGAAACCGAGAGGTCAGTGACCTCACCCACTCCCCCCCCCCTCCCCCCGCGCTCAGAAATTTCGGGGGGAGGGGGGGGGGGGCGCGGCCCCTTCGGCCCCCCCCCCCCCTGTGCACGCCACTGCTTCACAGTACTCCTTTGTAACCTCTATCCAGGGATGGGCAAAATACATGCCAATATGTATCGAAATACAAATACAAAATACTTCGTCAAAAATGTATTTCATTACAAATCTAATTACATTTCCAAAAAAACATTTACATACAAGATACAAATACAACCAAATGTATTTGGTCTCCTCCAAATACTTTTCCAAATACATTCCTCAAAATTTGCGTCAGCGACTCCAGGGCCCCTGCAACGGGTTTCTGGGTATCTCATTTTAATTTTGCATCGCACACTCGGGAGTTAGTGTGCGAGGCTCTAGTAACGCAATAGAAATATAATCACAAAAAAATGTAATCAGCTTGGACGTAATAGGCGAAAGAAGTACAGAGCTTCAAGCAGCAGCTTTTTTTGTCGATTACATTTTGGTATAGACCAACAAAGAACCGAGACGACCAAGGCGCGCAGCACTAGCTAGATATTTTTTTATTGTTGCAACTCGCACCAGTTACAAAAATCTGGACGACCCGCGCATTTAGAATGTTCCAGGCAAAAATATGGATGGAAATCAGGCTGGAAAGCATCACAAGTTGTCACAGGCACTTATTTAGCCAGTCTGCCCGTGAACGTCGATTTCATCACTATTCTTGCCCTGGACTAGCGCCGTAATCAGAAAGTCACTAAACGCTTGTGCTTGATTGAGAGACACTGCATTCGGTGCAGAACGTAGTTTCCTTCCTGCTCTGGACAGTGACAATAAATTTGAGGGATGTATTTTCGCCCACAAAATTGTATTTATTACAATTGTATTTGAAATACCCACGTTTTAGTATTTAAATATACACGTCAAATACAGTACCCAATTTGTAACTAAATACAAATGCAAAATACACAAAGTATTTGAAATAAGTATTTCAAATACTTGTATTTGAAATACTGCCCATCCCTGCCTTTATCATTTCGGTTACACTCTTTTTTTCAGTGCAAAAAACGGCAACATCATCTGCGTACGCCAAAACTTTTATCTCTACCATGTTTACAGTATATCCTCAAATATTTTTACTCACTTCAGTCTTAAACAGAAAGGTTCCAAGTACAAGGAAAACAAAAGGGGCGACAAGGGACAGCCCCGTCTCACTGATGACAATACCGGTATACTTTTTGATAAATTGTTGTTTAGCACAAGCCTGCTAGTGGATCCTCTGTACGCCAGAATTACGCCTTTCGTGATAACATTCCCCACAATGACATGTGTCAGAATCCTTTCTAGCACGTCATGTCGTACACGATCAAATGCTTTTTTCAAGTCGAGTTGAATTATGGCCACTTGGCCGTCCTCC